AGACAGCTGGAAAGAGCCGGAGCTTACATAAGTGGCCCCACTGCAAACAGTAACATCAACATGAGCTGGGCACAGAGAAATTTATAGAGTGATCTGGGGCTTGAGAAACACAATTCTAACCTTCCTGTGCAACTGTAGACAGATAAAAGAAAGCTCTGTTTCTTTACATAAATAACATGATATTGGATTCTAACATGAGATTCACATCAGAATTTAAATAAGAGCTGCAGTGCATACATTAAGAGTTATGTTTGCTAATACTGGTTCTTAATTTGTCATTTCTGTGCTTGATTGAGGTTACTCCCCCCCCCCCCCCGCCCCCCGCGCGCCCCCCCGCCACCCCCGCACCGGTACGCCAGCCGAATCAGCTGCGGGACACGGACGGGGCCGTTCCCGCCCGGCTCTGTCATTCCCGAAGGCACCGCGGTATGGAGTTGCAGGGCTCTGCCCTGCCCCTCTTGGCGCGCACCTGACCAGGGCACTCGGAGACCCGGGCTCAGTCAGAAGCCCACGGAGGTCCCTGGAACGGGAGCTTCGGTCAGACGGGACAGGGACGGGGTCAAGGTCCTGCCAGACAGAGAAGTTACTGGAGAGCCTGGCGGTACGGCCCCCGGTGAGGGGGTTCCCCGCTGCTGTACTCGCTCCTCCTGCCCCGGGAAGAGTTTTCCTTTGGCGACTCCGGTTTTATTGGGAAGCGGCCATGGGAAAGTTTGGGGCCAGGTACCAACAAGGGTGTCCAGCTTGAGAGAAAACGTGGGAAGTGCTGTGACTGCAGGAAGACGCGGTTTGTTCCTCCCTCGTCAACTCTCTCTCCGGCCTGGGGACTTTTCCCTAACTGCTGCTGGATTTTCAGCGTATTTTAACGTCACTTCCCGTAGGACAGGTGCTTTTGAACCCCCTTTTCGGATGAAGAGAGCGTCGCCCGGATGAAACGCACGGCACGGGAACCGCACTCCCCGTGGAGCAGAACGTGTCCCGAGTCAGGTACGCCTTCCCGGGCGGCACAGCCCCTGCCCGCACCCGGACCTATGGACGCC